CAACGGTGGACTTCAGACCTTTTTTTTGTTTATGAAAAACAAAAGAAGAAAAAAGAAAAGGAAAACAGACAGATTTTGATCCTCAATGGTGGCTCCAAACGGTGCCCTCAGGCTTTGATTTTATGAGAGAGAGAGAAATTTTCTTATTTGTTACTCACTTTTAATATTCCATTTTGCCCTCCAATCTCCTTTTTTTACAGTTTCTCTTTTCTCGTAATAATAATAATGATGATTAAAAAGAAAAAATTTAATTCAATTTCATTTGGTGTTTCTATCTCTATCGCTCCATTTGGAGACTCCCAAAAGATTCTCCATCTGCATGTTTGGCTCCATTAATAACAACAAGTAAATAATAATTCATTTAAAAAAAGAAAAAATTCTAATGGAAAGAACTTTCATTTTAACTAACAATTTAACTTTTTAAATTTTAGATAATGAGTTTTCTTCGATGGAGTGAAAGGATAGAAATATCATAGTTACAAAAAGAAGTAATTTAGATGATCTTATTTTTATGATAAGTTTTCATAAGCTGTAAATAGGAATTAAAAAAAAAGAAAGAAATCAAGTAAATTTGCGGAGATCTAGTATTAAAATGGAAAATTACCGGACGCAAACGTCATTATCAAATAAATTATAAGTAATTTATGAATTAATATTGGTCTAGAAAGAGCAAAAATCTAGGTCCTAAATGGGACTGATAAGTCAGTCTAATGAATTATACTAATTAATCAAACCGAAATCAAGGTTTTGTAAAAAAATAAAAAAAAATTTTATCCTAATGCTTTGTAAGAAGTTCGTTGTTACATATATGCATCCTTTCATCTTTATCTTTCAGATCAAATGAATGCTCATATGCGTAGCATCGGAACTTCCCAAAATTAATAATTTCAACCAACACGAGCATAATATCTCAATAATTGGAGGTTTGATCCTACATATCCCCAAATTGTTATATTAAAAAAAATAATTTCATATGAAAAAAGTTGAATTGTTATACTAAAAAAAATTTCATATGAAAAAAATTGAGTTTGGAATGGTACGAAATGTGATAATAAATAAATTCTTCTACGGAAGTATAAAAGTATACATTTTAAAAAATAGAAAAATTTACAGTTTTAATATATGCTTCCAATCTTTGATGCCATTGTCGAATTCAAATTTGTTCATAATTGGGAAACTTTATTTTCAAGACCAAATTAAAAAAAATATTTTTTCGATTAATTATCTAGGGGGTGCCACTGGGAGGTAATCCAAAGGCTTCATCTTTTTGGGATCCGATCATTGAGCGAGCGAGTTCACGGGAAGCTTGAAAGTTGGAAATATTCTTACATATCATATCAAAAGGTGGTCGCCTAACTCTCATTCAATCGGTTATGAGCAGTTTGCCAACTTATTACCTATCGATCTTCAAAGCCCCACTCAAGTTACTAAAGCACTTGAGAAGCTTATGAGGGACTTCCTTTGGAAAGGTACCGGCGATGAAGGAGGATCTCATCTTGTTAGATGGAACATTGCCACTCTCCCAAAATCACAAGGGGGTCTTGACATTAAAAGTATTAGCATCACAAACAAGGCTCTACTTACAAAGTGGTTGCGGCGCTTCTTCGATGAAAATAACAGTCTATGGGTTTCTTTGATTTCTGCTAAATATGTACAACATCCTCTAGAGATTCTTCCCACCACTTGCAAATTCAGTAGCTCAAAAGCTCCTTGGTCCCACATTATTAAAATGACGGACATCTTCCACAGAACGACTACATGGGAAGTTGGCAATGACAGAGATTTGTATTTCTGGTATCATAATTGGACCGGCAACGGGCCCCTGTACCTAGTTAAACCCAGATTTTATGCTCTCTCTGACAAAAAAAACTCTCTCTGTTTTTGAAGCTTGGCAATTTGGCTGTTGGAATTTCCTCCCTTACCGTCCTATGCTTGACAGGGAGCTGGACAATTGGGCCATTTTTACATCCTCTTTCCAACAACCCTTTCATTCTAAAGGTCCTGATAAAATCATCTGGGGAGCTATTTCCATTAGAGCATTTTCTGTACAGGATGTGAAATCCCTCCTATCAGGACCATCACAAACTGATCAATCAATCAGTTTTCTTTGACAACTTTTGGAGCCTCCTCATTCCGAAAAAATGCAAATTATTTCTTTGGTGCCTTCTCCACAGAGGTCTCAATACAGCAGATAAAATACAAGTTCGGTTTCCATCAAGGGTAAGCTTTCCAAATCGGTGTGTTCTATGCTATCAAAATGACGAATCCTTAGATCACTTATTTCTTCATTGTCCATTCACAACTGCTCTTTGGCTGCACATCCTAAATATTTTCCAGATACAAATTACTTTCCCCAGAACTATTGACAAATTTATTACCGAGCTTTTGTCAAAGCCTCTCAAAAGCCAGCGCGATATCCTTTGGAGTAACGCCATTGGATCTCTTATGTGGAACCTATGATTGGAACATAACAACCGCATTTTATCAGAGATTATTAGATCTAAGGCTTCGCTTTGGGAGGACATCAATATAAATGCCTCATCTTGGTCCTCTAAATCAAATCTTTTTTGTAATTACTCTATAGTTACTATTTCTTGTAATTGGACAGCCTTTTTTAGGCTCTTCCTTTTTGTATGTATGTTTCTCACATACCTCTTAATGAAATAGTACCACTTTGTCGAAAAAAACACCAAATTTTWAAAAAAAAAAAACTTTATTCAAACTCTAGTTTTATTCTTTTTTCCTTCTAAATTTTTAGGATTATATTTTTAAGATATATTATATTTTTATTTGTTTCAGTATAAAATTTGTTCGCTAGGAGGAAGTTAGGATAATATTGTTATGATTCTTTTCAACTAAAGTGTATATA